TTAGTCATCTATGCATCTAACTAACAATTTGGATAGGCCTTGCACCTGTTCATAAACTTTATCATTAAAGGTGAAGTATGTGCTGCTCATAGATAGATTAAAAAGCCTTAAAATAGAGCTTTTGCTCAGATTTGCCTCCCCAATAATTTCTAGCTGCTCATCTAGTCTGAGTGTTAGTACTTTAGCATATTTATGAACTGAGATGTTAGTATACATTGATACCACATCAAGATTAATCAAAAGATCCTCCTCTTTGATACTCTGTTGATCTATTAATCTAGCAAATTAATATGAATTCCTCACTGAATATTTTCAATACTCAGCCAATTTCCTTAGTTGTCTACATAAGGAACGTGAGATCCTATGCATCACAGTACCTTTGTTATTAACATTCAATCTTGAAGGAACTCCTTCCTTGTGCATTTTTGGAAGACCGTAGCCGAACTAAAAGAGCCTATCAGAGAGCATCCCATTACTTAATTTATTTTAGAATTAAAGTGGATATAATAAACTCAGATACTTTGAGGAGAACAACAGCAAATTCACGGCAAACAATGATTGACACCCTTAGCTCAAAAGATTTCCCGAAGTTACAAGTAATACCAAAAAATTTGTATACATATCCCAATTTTACGAGGCTCAGAGAGGTCCCTCGTACCCCTGTCTCAAGAAATGAGGTATAGCAGGAAAGATTTCCTTTTATTATTGCGTTTAGATATATAAAATAGCTTAATTATCTACAGTTTCGACTACAGGCAAAGGTCAAACTCGCCGGAATGTCCACATTCTTTGGTGTGTGGGAATATACTGTACACCTGAATTCTGTTCGTGTTTGAGTTAGTGGGTTTATGCTTGCTTGTGTATGAAAAAGAGGAGCTTCGGCAAGAGACCAAACGGAGGGCGCGAGTTATCTAAGGAAAGAAAGTGAGTGAGTGTGAAAGCGCGAGAAAGCAAATACATAATTTATTCTTGAAAAAATAGTCGCGAAATTAATCTGCAGCCCGTTCGATGCGGTGTTAGTGAGCGCAACTGCACACGCTCACACACACACCGACGCTAATGGGCCGTTTCTATACATTTAGTTGACGAGCATGGGGCAAAGTGTCATCGCCAACAGACCTAAAGTCTGCTGACCTTCTTTGGGCTGTGGGTCGAGGAGAAGAAGAGGGAACTCTTCTTGCAAGTCGAGGCGGAGGCCAATCAGTCACCGCCGACCTGCTTGCTCTCCGCGCAACTGGGCTTGGGCGCTTTCAGCGAGCGACGGGTCTGTCCGAGCCGAGATTGCATCCAGTCGCTCGAATTCGGGGTGTTCGGCCGGCTCTGGCTGAGGGTCGAATCCGGCAGAAGAGCACTGTGCAGGCTGGAGCGCCAGGGCCGGTTGCCGTCCTTCACGACGCGGTCCACCTCGCGGAGGAGGATTTCGTGTCTGTCAAAGCGGGGGGGGGATAGCCAGTTGGTACCGGTTTGAGGAAGGAGGGAAGTGAAGAGGGCAATGATTAGGCATGATTAAGTAAAAGGATATCACTGCTATAAGAGCAATTCGATATGGAAAACCCCGCCGAGCTCCAAATCAGAGCCACAGTGGCGGAAAGATGGTTGAAGTTGGTGAATACATAGTCAGCAGGTGATATGCTGAATAGCAAAATTGGTGGATTGATAGGTCAGCAAGGATTCATCGAGGTTGCTGAGGTCTTATTCACACAAATCTACAATCCCAGCTTCGAGGCAATATCCCACAGCTTCCGTTGAGGCCAAATTACGAATCCCTTCCAGTCGCTTTTTTAT